AGCTTTGCGCGAAATTCAAAAACAAAACAATCTTCATAAGTATTTGAAGAACCGTTAACACTTAGCATATTAAGCACAGAAGTTAACTATATCTGAACATATAATGCTAATAATGATTAAAAGTGCTAAAACAAAAATGAGATTTTACCTGCAGAGAGATGCTGTCTTTCAGAAATGTTGGATTTTCAAAAGACACTCCGGTAGATGTCTGCCTTTTATTCCGCTTCAGAACATAGACTCCACCTGCTGTTAACAGAATTACGAATGCAACTGCCACAACAGAACTAACGACTTTCACAGCGATATCTGCCGCAGCTATAAAAATAAGGAAGAAGTGTATCATAACGGAAACATTGCAAGTTTTTACTGTAACCTATATTTCTGTGGTGAAAAGTAGGGAATTCAACGATATGGTTATTTTAAATTTAGTTTTCCTTTTTACATTGAAACATCGTTAATGTATACCATAAACTATACTGTAAATCATAACACTTTATTGGACTTACCATCTGAGTGTTTCAAGAAAGTTGAATCATCTGCAAGAAAGAAGTGTTCATTGATGACATAAGTAGCTAAATGTTTTCCTTACTACTGAAAAATATACTTTATAGTATGTGCCGAAAATTTAGACACCGTTTAAAATACTAACCACTGTATTATTCCTACTGTAGACTTTGGGAAGGGAAAGCGCAACAATGCAATTTCAATTACGAAAGACGTGGTTATACTACATATTATACACATTTGTAGAAATAAGCTATGTATGTATTTTCTAGGTAAGTAATTAGTTATACATTCGGCCTAAAATTAAATCTCAATTAAACTTTACTAGTTGTTTAAGCATATTTTGTTGTTATCAGGTAAAAGTAGTTTTTCTCTAATTTTGCTTCGTATCTGAGCCAGGAAAAACATATGTTTAAGTCATTTTGTTAATGCTAGCATTTACTTTAAATACTTATAAATGGGCTTATCATAAACGTTAGAAGAAAACAAACTGGAAAAGGTCAAGTAGGTTAAAAATGATATATATATATATATCATCACATATTAGTATATACCAGTTACATTTCTGCATTAGAAGGAAGAATATGCTGTTCAACGTGCACTGTTTTAAAAATACAATATATTGGTAGTTGAAATACAAAATGTGGTTTAAAGAGTAAACTACAATCAATTAACATATCTTATAGCACATATATTATTCGAACAAAACGGTTGGATAGGTTATATTAAAAAGATTTTGGAGCTTCACCACGTCGTCACAGTTCCTGTACTCACGTCCGGTCATGCTCTATTTTACGATCGTGCACCTTGACAATAAGCCCTGCGGCGTAGTTTCCATCCCCAAACACTCCGTTGTAAGGCTGTTATGTCCAAGGCAAACCATTCCTCCTTGCAGGATTTCTATAATCTATTCAGCGTACAAGGACGACGGTTTCCCAGCGCCTGTTTCAAAAGTCCGATTGCATAGAAATTCATAGGTGAGTTGACAAGCACGTCTTCATATGGAATAGCATGAATATCTATTCCATTCTTTAGTTGTTTGAGGTATGCGACGATTGAACAGACATGTTGCGGACGCAACTTACGTATTAGCGACATGTTTCACTTTACCAGAAGAAGTTTCTTCTTGATTATGTTGCTTACTGTTGCCACTGACCTTTGTATTCGTGTATTCTCACCGGATACGAGATGTCGCGCTTTGCTTACCATAGCTTGTGTATGACTTGTTCCACGTATCTTTCTAGATGGTCCTGGAGCCTAACGTTGATTCACATTCCTTTGTTTTTACAAAGCCATTAAATACAAGGAATATTTCCTTCTTGTAATTCTAAGTCTTCGATCTGAACACATACTTATACGATCTGAGGGTATTAGGGCCTGGCATGGCCAGGTAGTTAGGGCGCTTGACTTGCAGTCTGAGGGTCGCGGGTTCGAATCCCCATCCCACCAAACATGCTCGCCCTTTCAGCCGTGAGGGCGTCATATATGGTATGGTCAATCCCATTATTCGTTGGTAAAAGAGTAGCCCAAGAGTTGGCGGTGGGTGACGACGACTAGCTACCTTCCCTCTAGTCTTTCACTGCTAAATTAGCGCAGATAGCCCTCGTGTAGCTTTGTGCAAAATTCAAAAAACAAAACAAACAAACTGAGCGTATTAATAGCTTGCGTAGGGAATGACTGTTATGTACCCTTTACACAAAAGATAAATTTTCAGTGGCGTCACACTACCTCCGAAAACCTAACAATGTTAAAATGTAGTTTGATACTTTCGTTCCGCCACAAATATATATATCGGCTGTGGTTCTCATCATGCTATCTGCTGTTTTGCATATTCTAAATAATTTTATTATAATGTACTCAACCCTTTGTAATCTGCCCTGATTATGAAAAATAGGCAATAAGCAGTAAAGGGTTTACTCTATTTACAATAAAATAGTTTGTTATAATTGATTAATTGCATAATATTTAAGCATCTCCTCTTTTTTATATATACTGTGTGTTGTTTATTAGTTTAAAGGGATTTACCATAACATTAATGCAACTACTGAAGAGCCGTATGTGCCTCGCAAAATGTGGGTTTGCCACCCCTGGCATACAGTAATCAGTATCAGTGTCTGAACATTGAATTTTCCAATTGATATCCAGTAGAACGAAGCTAGTTTCAATAACACGTCATTTTATAATATGAATCATTGCAATTTTTTATGTAAAACAAAACTGATATACCAACCCAAAAGCATACAATATTTCAGAATGATTTGTTTTTGAATTTCGCGCAAAGTTACACGAGGGCTCTCTGCACTAGCCGTCCCTAATTTAGCAGTGAAAGACTAGAGGGAAGGCAACTAGCCATCACCACCACCTCTTGGGCTACTCTTTTACCAACGAATAGTGGGATTGACCGTAACTAAATAACGCCCCCACGGCTGAAAGGACGAACATGTTTGGGGTAGGGATTCGAACCCGTGACTCTCAGATTGAGAGTCGAGCGCCCTAACCACCTGGCCATTATTAATGAAACTAAATATAAGGGTAAAGCATCGTATTAAAATAATTTGCAACAGACGAAAAAATACTTTATACATGAATTGTGTGCCACCGAATTTGAAACTATTATACTCTAATTGTCATAATTCGTGCATCAGGTGATATGAGGTACCCATGAGGTTTAGCATTTACAAATGAGTTTTCAAACAGGTAACTAAAAATTAACTATTAATATATTATGCAGCGTTTCATCCCTAAACGAGAAATTTTCAAGTATAAACATAATTTCATAAAATTAGTTAGTCACAGAAAGTTATACAACGCTTTGGACATGAGATAATTATGTTAGTATAAATATAAGGGAAGGGGTATTATATATATATTCATTCATTCATTCATCTTAGTTGTAACTGTATGTGTTTCAAGGATTTCAGTCCCCCAATGGAACTGCTGTAATTCTACGGTTTTACAACGCTAAAATCCGGGGTTCGATTCCCCCTTGTTAAATACAGCAAATAGCCTAATGTAGCTTTGCCTAAAAACAATGTCGCGTTTAGAAACAATACTCTCAATGCCAATCTTATTTGAAGATACACAATTGAAAACAAAAAGACAAGTTTGATATTTCATTGCTTATTTTAGTTTGCAACTTGGCGGTACAAAACTCAAAATATGGTTAATATTAAGCTAAAATAAAGATTACCTATTATGTCTCTATGACAGTGAAAGAGTTAATGGCTGGAAAATTGATTGCATATTCGAAAACATTTCCGTATTCATAAACACGTTTACTTTCTTCTCTTATATTAAAAATTTTGAATATTTGTTTATTGTGTCTTTCTTATTAATATTATTATTGTGAAGCCAAACTTTAAAATTAGCCCAACAACAATGCAGTTTGTAATACATTGAAACATTATTTTTAAAGTTT